TCCTATCCTATCCTATCCTATCCTATCCTATCCTATCCTATCCTATCTTATCCTATCCTATCCTATTCCCCCAAGTAAGCCATCTCTTATTTCAAAAGATCTACCTATTTTAAGGACTGGTTGGAAGAGAATGAGAGATGCTGGTATACTTAGAAATAGACCTTATAGGTATTGTTTTCCTCTAGCTGACAAGGAATTTGCTTTAAAAATATTAACGTATTACAGATGATTAAAGGCAGAACCCCTGGAAGGATTTAAACGTCTGCCATATGGCTTGTGGTTTTCTTTTTTCTGCTGAAAACAAACGGGCATCGCTGTTTGATAGAAAACAATGAAAGCCATGAATGGGAATCAAACTTTTCCATTTCTTTAGATCACTCCGTTGTTTTCCGCTGAAGAAATCAATTCCACAAGAATGCATCTACAAATAATTGTTTGTGGCCTGGGCTGTGGGTAGAAAAAAGTCCTTCCCTTTACACACCAAAAACAATGCTGTCCTGAATATAAATTTGTGGTCTGAATATTTTGAATTTGCTAGCTGAGGGGCATCTGAGTCTCACTGACCTTATTAAACATACTACAAATGCAGTGAAAACTCGCTATTGATGTGGATTTCTTTGTTTTGAGATGTGGGCAATAAGTCACTATTCCAGGAATGTCAAATATGATTTAGTATTTTTCTCCTTCTCTCGGTCTTGCTCTCTAGTAACCTTTAACCTTTCAGAATAACAGAATTGGAAGGGACCGCTGAGGTCCTCTAGTGCAGTGGTCACCAACCAGTGGGCCGGGGACCACTGGTGGTCCATGAGAAAATTTTGGTAGTCCACAGAGAAATGTCACCCCCAAAGCAATTAATCCAGGCTGCACGGGAACACAAGGCTTGCATCACTTGCACTGCAAACAACATGAGGTAGTGAGGGGAGGGGGGAAAGGGCAGAGGGGGGAATTTGCCCCATTCACCCCACACACCTGGCCTGGCCCCCAGGCTGCTTCTTTCAGCTTCTTTCTTCTTCTGCTTTTTCAGCTTCTTTCTTCTTCTGCTTTTGGCTGCACACAAGGAAAGCAGCAAAAGTCTTTCTTTCTCTCCCCCAAACTCTGCCAGAAATGAGTCTTTGGGACCCAGCAAGGCATCCTGCTCCAAGAGGCTGTGCCGGCAAAGACTCATTTCTGGAGGAGTTTGGGGGAGAGAAAGAAAGACTTCTGCTGCTTCTGCTGCTTTCCTTGCATGAAGCCAAAAGTCTCTCTCTCTCTCTTCCCCTGAGAACAGAGCTGGAAACAGTATCCTGCGATCCCAAATAAACAATGATCGATTGGTAGGAAAATGGGGTGGGGAATTTTCCTGCAGACTTTTTGGGGGATTTTCCCAGGGTCTCTGGTCCGCAGGATTTAAAATTATGAGTTTGGTGGTCCTTCAGGTCCAAAAGGTTGGCGACCCCTGTTCTAGTTCAACTCCCTCCTCAAACAGGAGACTATACCATTTCAGACAAATGGCTGTCCAGTCTCTTTCTAAAAGCCTCCAGAGATGGGGAAACCACAACTTGTGAAGTTACAGCATCCCCATGGTCACATGATCAAAACCCAGGTACTTGGCAACCGTTTCATGCTTATGATGGTTGCAGAATCCTGGGGTCATGTGATCCATTTTTGTGATTGTCTGATGAACAAAGTCAATGGAGATGCCAGATTCACTTAATTATTGTGTGACTAATTTAACAACTGCCATGATTCACTTAACAACTGTGGCAAGAAAGGTTGTAAAATGAGGCAAAACTCATAACTGTCTCATTTAGTGACAGAAATTTTGGACTTGATCGTAAGTCGAGGAGACCATATATTGGTAAATCACTTCTGTACTATTGCAAGAAAACTGTATGGTACAGTACATCCATAACCTCATGAGTCAAGTTTAACTTGAAGAAGACCAGGTGTATGGGCACTAAAAATATCTTGGTTATAATTACAGTCTAAATTTGGGTCCATGTGTGGAGGAATGGAGAAATTTTCAGGTTATGTAAAGCCATATCTATTTCTTTTTGGAACAGATGGATGGGTGATGACAGCCATCCTTTGGGTCATCAAACTTACGGGTGTGTCAAAATCATTTTTAAGGAAGAATCACGGAAGATAGACAAGCCTGTTTTGTATCTATAATGAAGTCCAGGAAACTGGCATCTTGAAGAGAAGCGGAAAAGATATGTAGTAAGAGCTGTAAAAAGGCACAATTAGCCAGTAGCCAACACTCAACTGGCTCCATTGACAGTGTGACTTAAGGCATCAGCTATGATTTGTACCTCACATGGTGTCTTTTGGGACTGTCTGTATACATGGGGCATTATAGTATCCTCCCTTCAGCGTGACTGTGACGTCCCACGTCAAACTGTAGATCACACACCGTGACTAGCTGTAAGCTGAGGGCCTATACTGGTCCAGTATCTGATTTTCTTTTAATATAAATGATGGTGTGCTTCAATGGTTATATGGCCTAGACAAGGAGTGGGGCATGATGGCCCTTTTATGACTTGTGGACTTCAACTCCCAGAATTCCTGAGCCAGCATGGTCACACTGGGGGTTGAAGTCCACAGATTATAAAAGGGGCCATCGTTCCTCAACCCTGGCCTAGACATTGGAATCTTAACTTACTGCACCAGTGTATGGTTTGTCAATTGCACAGGGGCAGATAGGAAAGCACTCCAGAGGGTTAACATCATTGCCCAGAAGATCATGGGTTGCCTTCTCCCCTCTTTGGAAGAGCTTTATAGCTCCCGCTGCCTTAAGAAAGTTCAAAACACTCTCAAAGATCCATTTCACACTGGGCACCCCTCTTTTTTTTGAACTATTACCACCTGGCAGATAGTACAGGATAATAAAAACAAGGACAAATAGGCTGAAAAACAGCTTCTATCCCAGGGCAGTAGCTCTGTTGAATTCTACTGTATAGTGCAGTGTTGGTATGGTGTCGGGGTTTTCAATGCAATGTGTGGAGTGTGAAGGATGTATGTTCGTGTTTATTTTCATGGTCATGGTGTGCACTGAAGATGGTGTTTGATTTCATTGTATGAGATGCAGCGACAATAAGGTAAACTAAACTAAACTTATATCTTTTTAATAGCAATAGCATTTAGACTTATATACCGCTTTACAGCCCTCTCTAAGCAGTTTACAGAGTCAGTATATTGCTCCCAACAATCCGGTTCCTCATTTTACCAACCTTGGAAGGATGGAAGGATGAGTCAACCTTGAGCCTGGTGAGATTTGAACTGCCACATTGCAGTCAGCAGAAGTAGCTCGCAGTACTGCACTCGAACCACTGTGCCACTGTGGCTTAAGATTTGTATTTTATTATGTTTTAGTAATCTAGGTAAAATGTTAATATATATTGCTAGTCCATGATGTCATACAATAAATAAACGAATAAATAAAGGCAACAGCTTCACATGTTCTATTTCTGAATTTTAGATATCCACCCGTATTTTGTAATGCAGGTGAGATGTCTGAATTCTAACCCTTGTTTGCTTTGGTGTGGTTTTTGAACCGAATGTCAATCTTCCACTTATAATCAGGAATGAGGCCGCCATGGGATCAAAAAGCTATGAGTCACTCTTTGATCTTAAATCCTGATAAAATCAAAGTATAGGCCCAGTCCTACCATAGAACCTGTTCTTTGAAAAACAGCAAACCCCAATTTAACCACATGGGTCATTTTAGCTTGATTGGCTTTGATTCTGAAAAGTTCTTGTTCCATTATGCAAACGTCTCATTTACAAAGGCTAAAACTCCTTTCTTCAAAATTAATTCAGCATGTGAAGGCTGTCAGTCTTACTGAGGGGCGTGTGGATGAATTCTGTCTCCTTCAGAGCACCATGGAGAGATGTTACTATGGAAATGCAAAAAAAAGGGGGGGGTGGCTTGGGGAAAAATAATTTTTGCATAGAAACTATTATTCTGCATTATGAAATGTAGACAAGAGAGATTCAGTTACTTTTTTTTTTAAAGGAGTCACAATTACTCATGCTCAGAAGGGGAATCTTCATTATATCTTAAATTTTATTTTGATCCTGCCTTGATTATTTTTAAAAATAACTCAAGGTGGCGAAAAACCTGTAGAGATTCTCAGTCATCCAGATCGTGGTTGTCCCAAAGCTTTGGGATGAAAAACCCTTTGAATAGGGTGGGAGTAGGAATGGATTTCCAGAGGAAAATGTTGCAGACTACAGGAACCAGGAGCACTACTCAGTTGCAACCCTGCGGACAACAGATAAACCTCCCAGTGGCCTCAACGACCCTCTAAAAGGATGCAAATGACCAGCTGTCTGCAAGGAATATAAATCCTTCCATTCCCCACTATTCTGTCAGAGCTGAAGAAGCTTCTTGGATGAGAAGTGAAAGGTCTTCAAAAGAAGAAAGAACAAGAAAGTGCAGTTGCCTCCTGAAAAAAAAAGCACCTTTGGGTCAAGGTGGCAAACAAACACACTTCTGCATCCTGTTTTCCCCACAACAACCCTATGAGGTGAGTGGGAGTGAGAGAAACTGACCCAAAGTCACTTACATTGTCGGTGACCTGAATCTAGCTTGTAGGTAGGCACTCTCACACAGCAAAATGGTGTCACATTGTCTTGTCTTCTCAGACTGATTTGTCCTCTCCTGCTGATGAGCGTCAAAGAGATGTAATATATAGACAGCCTCAATGGTGCAGTGGTTAGAGTGCAGTACTGCAAGTTACTTCTGCTGCAGCCAGCTGCCTGCAATTTGGCAGTTCGAATCTCACCAGGTTCAAGGTTTGACTCAGCCTTCCATCCTTCCGAGGTGGGTAAAATGAGGACCCAAATTGTTGGGGGCAACAGGCTGACTCTAAACCGCTTAGAGAAGGCTGTAAAGCACTATAAAGTGGTATATAAGTCTAAGTGCCCGAGCCTTGAATCTAAGATCAAGGGCAATCCTTAATTAGTCCTAATATACTCCCTGCTGCTCCAAGCAGTCCCGCTTTAAAAAGGTACCTCATTTGTAATAGGTTTCTGATTCCACAAAAAAATAAAAGGGTTTCTTTTTCACCCTCCTCATTAAAAGCAAATCAATCAGCCTCGTTACCTTTATGTTGTCTTCAGGCCAGGAATTCAGCATTGTGGCAATGTGTCCTTTGTCGTGAATGGTAATGAATAGCCCACTGGGGAAGAAAAAAAAAGGATAAATTACACACACACACACACACACACACAAAAGTAAAACTAATCCGAGCAGGCCAGAGAAGTAGGACTTGCAGAGAAGGCTGGGCACTAAGTGGAACGGCATAGTAAAAACAGTTTGGCATGCAAAAAAAAGGAGAACCTTAATAGATTTTTGAAAGCACATTTAAATTTGGCAAAGAGGAAGCACAGGATTTTCTCACACTTGTGAATTAGTGTGCAAAGGAAAGCGTGCAGAAGCAATCCAGGCAAAAGAGAAGTAACCAGAGCTCGTCTTTAAAGTCCTCGACTTATGATCACAATTGAGCTCCCCTGCAAAGTGACTTTTGTCCCATTATATGACCGTTCTTGCCACAGTTGCTAAGTGAACCACTGCGGTTCTTAAGTTAGTAACATGGTTGTTAAGTGAATCTGGCTTCTTCGTTGACTTTGCTTGTCAGCAGGTCCCACAAGACTTCAGGAGACTGCAACCGTCATAAATATGAGAGTCAGTTGCCAAGCGCCTGGATTTTGATCACATGGCCATGGGGATATGCTGCAACGGTCATAAGCGTGGAAAAAAACCCAGCCCCACATCACTTTTTTCAGTGCCGTTGCAACTTTGAACGGTCACTAAATGAACCATTGTAAATCGAGGACAACCAGCACTAAGCCCTCTTTTTCGCAATGCTAAATATGTGGTTCCAGGTGGGATGGCCAACAAATATTACAATACCCAGTTCATTTGTTCACTTAATACGAACAATTGAACTTGTAAAGCCAGTGGGGTTAAACAACACTATCAGGTATCATCTTAGAAGAGACATTCTACCCTAATTCATAATGAACTAGCTCGATACCTGTGCTTCGCAACGAAACCATGTGGTCGTGCTTAGTTTTGGGGGAGGAAAATAAGGGGGGGGGGGCGGGAAATTCTGCCTCTGCCTACTAGCATCCATCGGTATTCATCTGGCTAGCGTCCTGTCAGTGTGTGAGAGAGTTGAGGGCTGTTTGGAAACTGAAACAGTACTTGCTGTGTAAGCAAGAAGGAGACAGCAAGGAGCCTGGGCGTGGCTTAGCTCAACTGTTCTGTACTAAAGCTGCTTGCTGCTGTGAAACTGAAACTCCTCTACTCTGCTTGCGTTTTGCATTTGGAAGAGATTTCTTTTCAGGTGGGGAGGGGCAGTAGAACTCCTTAGCATCAGAGCGTGTTAATAATAATAATATAGGAAATACTAATGCTCTGATGGTCATTTCGAAAAATCCTTTCTTAGTGAGCACCTAGAAGCCAAGAGGAACATATGTGCCAAATTTCAAGTTTGTAGGTTTTACGGTCCTGGATATTTTGTCATGATGCGTGAGGCAGGGGTGGGATTCTACCAGTTCGCACCTATTTGCTAGAACCGGTTGTTAACCTTTTAAGCAGTTCGGAGAACTGATTGTTAGAAGAAATTACTGGCCTAATCCTGTAAGAAAGGCAGGAAGGAAACATTCTGGTGTTGCTTACAGAAACTGCCTCTCCGTTAACCCTTATTACATTCTTGGCAGGACTAGACTTCCTGTCTCTGGAACTTCTCTGGAGTTTTTCCCCCCTCCTTTGCTGGTACTTTGCTTGTGTGGAGTGACCATTCAAAGTTACAATGGCACTGAAAAAAGTGACTTATGACCATTTTTCACACTTACAACTGTTGCAGCATCCCCACAGTCATGAGAGGCCAGGCGAGGAGATGCGTGCCTCGATGTGAGTGATATTGAGTTGGCCACGCCCAGCCAGTCACATGACCACCAAGCCACACCCACCACCTAAGCCACGCCCACAGAACCGGTTGTTAAACATTTTGAATCCCACCCCTGGCATGAGGGGTATTTCGCTTTTATAGATAGATAGATAGATAGATAGATAGATAGATAGATAGATAGATAGATAGATAGATAGATAACAGAGTTGGAAGGGATCTTGGAGGTCATCTACTCCAACCCCCTGCTCAATACCATTGCAGACAAGTGACTATCCAGACTCTTCTTCAAAACCTCCAGGGACAACTTCAACTTCTACAACTTCTGAAGGCAAGCTGTTCTACTAGTTAATTGTTCTCACCGTTAGGGAGTTTCTCCTTAATTCTAGGTTGCTTCTTTCCTTGATCAGTTTCTATCCATTGTTTCTTGTCCTGCCCTCCAGTGCTTTGGAGAATAATTTGACCCCTTCTTCTTTGTGGCATCCCCTCAAAACCTGGAATACTGGTATCATGTCACCCCTAGTCTTTCTTTTTTCTAGACTAGACTTTCCCTGGTGCTTTTTAGATGTGTTGGGATCACTGGATAGAAAGTTGTGATATTTCAATCACAAGCAGCTTATACTAGCCATGATTATATCAGGTGCACCATGGTTCATGTGGGCTTATCTTGCCCATTCCTGGTTTCACTTCCAACACATCTGGGGAATGTCAGGTCACTCTGCAGTCTGTGAGTCAGGAATGAATATATTCAATACAATTTAATTTAATGAATATAACATTTTTTTTCCAGAAATAACTCCAGCATATGATGCATAAGTCTCTTGAGAGCTTTTTTAAAAAGGAACCTCCCAACCATCTGTTGTGTTTGCAGGTCCTATTTCTGTTATTGCTGTGGCAACTGTGTTAGGCTTTGAAATTTAGAAATCAAACATTCAAAATTAGTTTCTTTGGGAAAAATTTTTAAACAAACAAACACATCATCTTACAAAAGAGCCTGGACAATCAAACTTCATTCGAGCCTGCAAGGAATTTATCCAAAGAGGAAAAATAATTAACCAATCAATGGTTGAAATTGCAGCAAGTGACTAATCTCTGACTTTTATAGATGTGTTTATAGCAAAGACTTGGTTATTACAGAGGTTTTAAACAATAGAACAACCAAGTTGTTTGTTTCTTTCTCAAAGTGCTTTTCAGTGTAGGCTTAGTAAGTAACTCAAGTTTTCTGAGCTCCAAAGCTAAACACAGTTGGACCGTTTGGTATTTGGAGAGCAACTACTAGGAAATATGAAGGTTAGGCCAGGCTGGGAAGGTAAATGTATATATTATAAAATAAGGTAAGGGTATCTTCTTTAATAACAGCTGTCAAGAAAGGTACCAAGATGCCTCCAGATGTTGTAAATGCTCCAACACTGGAAGTTTTTAAGAAGAGATTGGAAATATTCTATTCTATTCTATTCTATTCTATTCTATTCTATTCTATTCTA